TTTAGCCCATGTTTGGCAATTATTATTTGAAAAAAAATAATATTTTAAACAGTGAAATTTGGAGAATGTATAGTTAACAAAGTAGAAAAAAGTTTGAATTTACGTGAAAAATATTTTATTGTGTAAATGTAACTGAAAAGAGGTATATATATATAGAATAAAAAATCTTGAAATAATGATTGTCAAACATGGGCACAAAATGCTCTTTATTATACACAAAAACCACTTTATAAAATGGATACTCTTTTGGGAAAATTGCAACCACGGTACAAAACCTTTCATTTTTTTGCAGACTTTGCCCAAACTTTTGTTTTGTGTCAGCCACGGTACCAAACCTTTAAAAAACTCGCACCGGAGGTCCGAATGGATGGAAACCATGAGTTTGACTGTTAGTTAACTTCAAAAAATTATTTTGACCAAATCAACAAATGGCAAAATGGTAACAACATAATTTTAACATAAAAAAGGAAAATAAAAAAAGGCAACACTATTCACCTTATTCATAAACTACCCCACCCCACTCCACTCCACCAAACGCCATTGGCCGCCACTGCCTACCACCACTTTCCGCCACCAACGGTGGAATCACCTCCCAACACTACAGTCTTAAAAGCTGCAGTGCACTTCTCGCGAATCAAATGGACCCCAGATTTTAAGATTAAAATCCCTTGAAATTTAATGTTTCAAATGCAAATCCGAACCTCAAATTATAACTATAAGCGAAGAATAAACACAAATCCAGCCGAATTCTTAAAAGAACACCCAAAAGCAGAACAATACCGATCAGAAATTGAGAGTAAAACTAAAATCTACTTTTGTTTAGAGCTACGATTTAGAAAACCCAGAAAGATAACACTAAGAAAATTCTTGAAACCCTTTTGTACAAGTGAGGGAATGGAGACTGAGATTTCAGAGGATTATAAAATGAGAGGTAGGGCGGAGGGGGAATGGATGCTCGGAAAATAGTGGTGGTTGTCGAAGGCGTGGATGTGGCAAGAACTACACTCCAATGGGCACTTCACAATATCCTTCNAACTACACTCCAATGGGCACTTCACAATATCCTTCGTTTTGGGGATTTGATTACACTTCTTCACGTATATATCACTACAACATCCAAAAGCAAGAAGAAACTCAAGCTTCTCCGCTTGAAAGGCTTCCAATTGGCTCTCTCTTTCAGAGAAATATGCAATTCCTTCCTTAATGTACACAGTAATCTTTCTTACCCATTTAATTACATGTATATCATGCAAAATCGTTGGCCCAATTGATTATTATGATGCAAACTGACTATTGCAGACAAAGACTGAGATTGTTGGGAGGTGATTCCACCGTTGGTGGCGGAAAGTGGTGGTCGACAGTGGCGGCCAATGGCATTTGGTGGGGTGGGGGTGGTGGTTTGTGAAGAAGGTGAATAGTGTTGCCTTTTTTTATTTCCCTTTTTTATGTTAAAATTATGTAGTTACCATTTTCCCTTTGTTGATTTGGTCAAAATAATTTTTTTGAGTCAACTAACAGTCAAACTCGCGGTTTCTTCCCATTCGGACCTCTGGTGGGAGTTTTTTAATGGTTTGGTACCGTGGCTGGTACAAAACAAAGGTTTGCAAAAAGTCTACAAAAAAATTGAAAGATTTGGTATCGTGGCTGCAATTTTCTCTATTCTTTTTGGAGATGCTCTTAGATAGCAAAAATAGTAACAAAACAACATATTTTGGATAATTGAAGAATGGTTTATAGATGGTCCACTACTACGCAACTTGATAACGATGACACAATGATGCCAGTAAATGATAAATAAAGTTGTTTGTAATGTTATTTATCATCATAATGATGAAATATCGATAGTGTGATAATCAATTATTTCTCTCTCTCTCTCCTCTCCAGCTCTCATAAAAATTGAATTGTCTAATCTCATTATTCCACATATACTGCTATATCACCGATATTTCATCATCATAATGATAAATAACATTATTCTTTTAATATTTAGAGAATGTATAGTTGAAAATGAGTTTAAGAAAAAAATAAATTTTTAAAAAATGTGGCTCAAACAGGGGCTTAAATGGGTCACACGCACTTCTATTTTTCGATGATGCTACACATACTTCGACAAATTGCACCTTAACAGTAAGCATGCTAAATAGGAATCGTAATATGTGTTGATTGATGGCCATATGGATAACATACAACAACAAGAGTTGCTTGCAACAAAAATGCTGTGAGTACAGAATTTTCACCAGAAATTTGAATTTTACTCCCCATGTGATTAAAAAATTGATTTTTCTACCCACCCACCCCTATTGTTTCTATCCTGTATGGGTACAGAAATTTGAATTCATGTACCCATAGCAGAACTCTACTTGCTATTGCTAATTCTATTTGATGGTTATCAAATGAGTATTCGTCTTAACATTGTGGTTCTCCCTTTTATTTTGCTATCCGACTGCTTAACCTATGATATAAACTATGACACTTAAGTGCCACATAGATAGGTGCTTGAAATTAATGGTGCTACATAGAATTATTCTTTTATGGACATGGACAATTTTGAGAAATAAGTGGTTGAATTTAGCCTCTCTTTGGAGCTCATTAATTTTTTTAAAAAAAGTTTTGAATAGTGTTTTTAGAAGAATGTGTGGTTAAAAAAGTCTGCAATAAAGTAACTAAACTTTTCATTTAAGTCAATTAAACCAATATTGTTGAGAGATTCTTAAATCTCGATTCTTCAAAAAGAGTCACTAAAAAAAATAACAAAAAAAAAAAGTGGATTTTTTTTTTTAAAGTTACAAGTACTAAAAAAAGTGACAAACACCAATCAAAATTTAAAAATAAATTCAAAGATGGTTGTTTTTCTTCTACATGTTATCTCTTTATGATTATGTTTCATTTTTATTACTTAAACATAGAACATAATTCATTTTAGGAACGCAACACTCTATAAGTTGAGTCCCAGTTAAGAAGTGACAAATTCAAAAAGTGACATAACTTAAAAAAAGTGGCAAATTACGTTGGCATCAATAATTCAAAATCACCCTATAATATAATCAATATAATCATGCAATTAGTATTAAACAGCATCTCAAAGTAACACTCTTATAATACTATAAAAAAACTCTTGAAAAATGATGTACAAATAACCAGCATCTCAAAGTAACACTCTTACAATACTATAAAAAAACTCTTGAAAAATGATGTACAAGGCACATTCACCATAACTAGTTCTTAAGAAAAAATATAAACAATTCTAAAACATATGGTTTTGTTACGGTCGCAATCTTTTAACCATTAAAGCTCATCTTTCATCGGTTGTCTTTGGCATTCATCCCAAAAAATAGGGAACTTCAATTTGGCTGCAATATATGGCATAAGCCAATCACATATATGAACCTGAAAGCAATGAGCAGGTGCATTCAATGCCAAATACCCCAAAATGTGACATAAACTTTAAAAAAGTAACATGTGAAATTTATATGTTGTACTTGTTCATCACATGCACCTTCCATCTTTGCCTCATCAACCATCTGTGAGCTGAAAATCCAATAGTACCTATGCTACTATGAACTCTCTCTTCCTCTCTACCGACATAACTTCCTCTGCGGGTCCTTCAATTTCAGTCTCAAATTCATCCTGCAGCAATTAAACGTACAACATCTCCATTAACATAAAAGTAAATGACCAAAATTATCAAAAAAAATCTCTAATAAGGAAATTGAATTTGAGAATGAGAATGATTGCTTCATGAGCACAATGATACACAATAATCCCAACAAAACCCAGAATCATAAATTGAATAACATAATAGAACAAGAAATCATATTTGCCAATTCAAATCAAATTTAAATTTTTAAAAATTATGCCAACAATTTAAGAATTTTAACCATAGACATAAGATGCAAATTCTACACTCAAGATGTAAATAAATACCAGTGCAACAATGAGTTCTTCACCTAAGAATTTGAAACAAATGCAAAAAAGTCACAAGGTCCATAACTATTTTATTTTTCAAGTTAAACTATGAACTTTATTCCAAGAAAAGGAAAAAGAAAAATCAGAACACAATCTTTTTCCCATTCAAAACACCTTAACATGTCCTCTAATTCACGATTTCATAATGGATTGTAGTATTTTTCATCAAACAAATATTACCCAAAAATGTAGAAAATATACGTGAGCGAGAGAGGTGAACATCGTACTTGAAATCGGAATAGAAAACATCACCTACCATGACGACGAGGAATGCGGTGATGATGGGGAATAGTTGGCTAGAATTGGAACCAGTGAGGGTCGAGCTTATCGAGCTTGATTACAGCTTCACGACGAATCGGATGTATAAAGGCCTCGTCGACTTGAGAGTGAGAGTGGGAATCGAGGAAGCCGATAAGCCCGAGGGCTTGCACTTGCGCGGAGTTGAAATCCCCCTTCTCTAGAGCCAAATCAGCTCCAAATAGCAAAGAATGGAGCCCTAGGGATGAGAGGAATGGCTTTCTTTCGGGTTAGTTTAGGGGGGTTGGAGTTTTAGTTAACAATTTAGATTAGGACGAATTATTACTTGATTAAAATGTTTAATTATTTTAAAAAGTATTAATCAAAATACTTATTTTTATAGTGTACACAGCTTAATTTCCTCTTAAATTAATGGACTAGAAGTGGCCCATAAAGATCCAGGCCCAGGGATGTCTGTCTAAGTTTTCAAAATAGCCGGCCCAAAATACAGGACAGGAACCAGTGCAACCAAGACATTGTGAGGTACATAAATCAGAGCTGTGTGCCTATCAAACAATTGATGGCCATATCCCTTGACGTACAAAATATATTACGAAAATTAAAATAATGAACGCACAAAAACACGAAAAGAAAAAAGCCATCGGCTAGACTACACCTACATGATAATTTTATCGCGAAACGCAGTTATTGGAATGGAACATTAGAAAATTCACGCTGAAATGTAAGAAAACGATAAATGGGGGAAGATTTCAGACACAGGCTGCGCCATAAACGACTCATTTAGCACTGGCAAGCTCAGTGCGGAGGAGCTTGGCAGCAGCAACCATGTTTTGGAGTGCAGGCTTCACTTCAGCGTACTTGCGCGTTTTAAGGCCACAGTCGGGGTTGACCCATAAGATGTTGGTTTCGAGCACAGCAAGCATCTTGTTAATTCTGTCGGCAATTTCTTCGGTTGATGGAATTCTTGGGGAGTGGATATCATATACACCAGGTCCGATTCCAGCACCATACTTCACTCCTTCACGGAAGACTGAAAGGAGCTTCTCATCAGAACGAGAGTTCTCGATAGTGATGACATCAGCATCCATGTCAATGATAGAGTGGATGATATCGTTGAAATTGGAGTAGCACATGTGGGTGTGGATCTGTTGGTCCAAAAAGATGATCTCATTAAAAAAGCTGACATGGCTCAAATCGTGGGAAATGGAAGTGAAACAACCCAAGAAACTCACCTGGGTGGTGTCCTGGACGCCGACGTTGGTGATTCTAAAAGAGTGAACAGCCCAGTCCAAGTAGAAAGCATGCTCAGCCTTCCTAAGAGGCAGCCCCTCTCTCAATGCAGCCTCGTCAATTTGAATAACGTTAATGCCCGCCTTCTCAAGATCCTCCACTTCGTCCTTTATGGCCAAAGCAATCTGGTAGCAAGTTTCGAATCTGCAAACCAAGAAAATGTCAAAGTTGATTTTTCTGAATCATGAGAAAGACAGACCAAGTTATTCCATCCAACTTCTCCCCTAACACACGGGTGATAGACACAAAGGGAATGAGCAGTTCCTATATACCTTGGTTGGTCATTTCGGACAAACGACCAGTTGAGAATGGTAACAGGACCAGTAAGCATTCCCTTCATTGGGCGCTTGGTCATGCTCTGGGCAGCAGTGGACCAGAAGACAGTCATTGGGTTGGGACGACTCACATCACCATATATGATTGGTGGCTTCACACAGCGAGATCCATAAGATTGCACCCACCCATTAGCAGTGAAGGCAAAACCAGACAACTGCTCTCCAAAGTACTCAACCATGTCATTCCTCTGAAATTTAGTAATCCCAAAAGGTAAAGTTATCAGGTTATATATGATGTTCAGATTGGCTCTTAAAAGGTAACCGAAGTAACCCTTATAGAATTGACAAACAGTAAGAGATGTGTGTTTATTAGCTTTGTGGACAAGCACCCCATTTGGCTTACCTCTGGCTCTCCGTGAACCAGAACATCAATGTCAAGCTCTTCCTGAAGCATGACGACTTTGTTGATTTCCTCTTTGATGGCCTTAATATACTCCTCCTCTGAGATCCTGAAAGACAAAATGATATTTTTAGAAATAACAACTTGAAGAATATATCAAATACAAAGTGAAAGCAAGTAGAAACCGCTCACTTCTTGGCCTTGTATTCACGGCGAACTCTTCTGAGTTCAATGGTCTGAGGGAATGATCCAATGGTAGTGGTAGGGAGAATTGGAAGATTAAGGTTCTTTTGTTGAGCATCAAGTCTAGCACTAACATTAGTAGCACGACGGTGGTCAGAACCCGTCAAAGCTGCAGCCTGTGTGACCATAAGTAGTATTGATCAGTAAGACAGGACATTTTGGCAGCAGAAATGCAAAATTTTAAAGAGGAAACTATGCAGATTAATCACTTACAGCCTTTTGAACAGCTTCGTTGGTGACCCTTGGGGAGTTTTTGCGAGATGCCTGAGCAGCAGCATTAGCCAAGAAGAATGCCTGAAAGGTAAGAGTAGCAGTCAAGTGCAAGGTCATTAACATGTCTCACTTCTGCGAATTTAATATAAACTGAGAGTGGTGTCTACCTCATCCTTCTGACCAGCCAGTGCCTTTGCCAAAGCATTTACTTCAACAACTTTTTGTGCAGCAAATGCAAGCCATGATTTGATTTCTGTGTCCAGCTTAGGCTCGTTAACCAGATCAACAGCAGTGTGGAGAAGCGAGCAGGAGGTGGAAACAACTAGCTTGTCTGCATCACAAATTAGAGGATAAATGACCCTCTGTAGAAGCAAAATTCTAAATCAGTGAAGCAACTTTGGGCTATGTACCATTTCCAACAATGCCTTCCAGAGACTTCAGGGTAATGAGAGATGCATCCAGATCATTAGCCCAAATGTTCCTTCCATCAACCACTCCGGCAAACAGGTACTTTCCAGAAGGGAGTCCACCCTTAATTAAATCAAGAGTCTTGGTTCCACGAACTAAGTCAAAACCAAAGGCAGTGACTCCCTTTAGAGCAGTAAGGGTTTTGAAAGCATCAGCAGGGACATCAGCAAAGTAGGTTTCAACCAGGACATTAAGGCCAGAAAGAGATGATTCAAGTTCAGCATAGGCCTTAGTGAATGCTTCCAGTTGGTGAGACTCGAGATCCATCACTAGGGTGGCCTCATCAAACTGAATCCACGAAGCACCAGCTGCCTTCAACTCAGCAATAACTTCCCTATATGCATGTCATACATACTAATGTCAACTCAGATAAGTAAATTAATAAAACCATTAATAAAACTGGAAAAGTTCAAAATTTCTTACTTATAGATGGGAAGGATTTTGTCAAGAAGAGAAAGAAGTGGGAAAGTTTTCTCCACGCCCTTGGCAGGTTTTGAGAGTAGCAAGTATGTGACAGGGCCAACAAGTACTGGAACTGTATCTACGCCAAGCTGCATGTAGGAAATTTCAAATTGATCAGGTGCCAGTAAATAGATTAATAGATCTGAACAATTTATATATCAAAAACACATGGCACAATGCAACTTAATGGTGACAGCATGCAAAGTATAGAAGATTCCACATGCCAGCCATATCATTGTTGGCATTTTTTTAAAACATAAGGGGGGTGGTCAATGGTTCATGATGACACTATTACAAATTAAAAAACTTCACACATCTTTCATTTTCTTATCTAGTCGTAAAATTTTAATGCCAAGCTGCATGTAGGAAATTTCAAATTGATCAGGTGCCAGTAAATAGATTAACAAATCTAACCAATTTATATATCAAAACACATGGCACAATGCAACTTTATGTTGATAGTATGCAAAGTATTGAAGATTCTACATGCCAGCCATATGATTGTTGGCATTTTTTCGAAAACATAAAGGGGGTGGTCAAAGGTTCATGGTGACACAATTACAAATTAAAAAAATTCATACATCTTTCATTTTCTTATCTAGTCGTAAAATTTTAGTGCCACCAAATTCACAGACTATATAAGATCAGACGAGAAAAGACTGGTTAGTCAAGTAGCATAGATATACAATGAGTCTTGCAGACAACATACCGACTTAGCTTCCTTGTATTCAGTCACAGCCTTGTGAGAAGCATAGGAAAATTTCACATCAGGTCCCAATTCGGGCACAATGAAGTGGCTAAATTAATAAATGAACAACACAAGTCAGTACTTAAATATCACTGGCATACTGTAATATAAAAAATTTAGAGATTTAACCTATCACTTACTAGTTGGTGTCAAACCACTTGGTCATTTCCATAGCAGGAACAGAGGCATTTCCTCTAGCCATGGAGAAGTAAGTGTCGAACCCAATCTCACCACCATTCCAGTTGTACCTTGTGGGGACAGCACCAAGCATTGCCGTTGTGTCGAGTACCTGATCGTAGTAAGAAAATGTGTTGCTAGGAATGTACTTGATACCAGCATCAGCCATCTGCTTCCAGATGGATGATCTGAGGTCAGCTGCCACCTTTTGCAACTCCTCAGCACTGCTCTTGCCATCCCAGAAGGATTCGAGAGCAAACTTCAACTCTCTCTTTGGGCCCATACGGGGATATCCAACAATATGAGATGCCATCTTTTAGAATCGCCAAAATTCAATTTATCAAATAATGTTTGAACCATGAACCACGAAACTTCATTGCTAACATACATACATATCAATTTTACATCTCTAAAAAATCACATGCAAGAGGAACGTGAATAATTTTGTATACAAGATCTGTAACTCTAAACAAACAACGTAACATCCATCAAACCGTCTAATATAACTTTTAATCAATGATTAAATAAAGATCTCAGCAACCAAAAAGCTCCTTAACTTCATTTGTCACAACATTATCGTCTCTCTGTCATTCTCTTATATGTCTTGTCTTTCTTTTCAAAGATGATCCTTGTCTTACTTTATACAGTCTTATTGACACTATCCAAAACAGGGCTAGGTAGATTTAAATCACACTAGGATAAAATCAAATGGATATGTTCCATACTGTTTAACCAAAACATGCTGAAGAAATGAAATTGAGATAGATCGAAAATTCAAGACAATAACGCTTGATTTCCTATCAAACATTAAAATCCGCCATATTTCAATCCAATCAGATCCAATAAATTTTAAACTAAAGAAATTCCAGATCCAAGCGTAGTACAATAATACTTAATAACAACATTAAAGTGGGGGGCAATGCATACAGATTGAACAGAATTAAAGACACCCAATTTCCACTTCATATGAGATCTATTCAGACGAAAGATCCTAAACACAGATCTACAAGTTCCCACCAGCACGTGCTCTGGATTTACCACTTAAAGTTTATCCACAGAACATATACACCAAATTTACAAGAGCCCAACCTCCCCAAATACTTTAAATACCTCGTACATCAGCAGTTAAACTATACTAACCCAACAAAACATGTAATAGTAGTAGTACAGTATATATTATACGTTACTGCATTGGGCGATAGATTTTGTCAATTACAGATTCTTACCAGTAGATCTAAGCAATATGAAACAAAAATTTCAAAAGGGCACTTCAAAAAACTAATAAAAGGAATATAAACAAAGACATAAAGAAGACAATTTAGCAAATAAATAGTGGACACTGAAGGACGTGAGAAAAAAACGAGGGAATCCGTACCTTTAGGGAGAAGGTGGTGGTCACAGATAGAGGTTCCGTTAATGAGAGAGCGTGGTTAAGGGAGAGAGAAAGGGGCTGACGCGAGTTCGAGGAGAGGGATGAATGCCCTATTTATAGAATAGAAAAGTGGCTGTCGTGGTAGATCTGAGAGAGTCGAATTTTGCACATTTTGCTGCTGACAGTGAAATTGTGAAGAGGGAGGTGTGACTAACGCGCTAAAGAGGCGCGTGGAGTGAGGAGAGGAGTTGGTGAACTCACCAACCCCGGGAATTGAAATGTCAAATATCGTAAATCCATATGGGGAGTTATATGATTTGATGGGGGCATTTTTGTAATTTAAACTGCACACTTTTTATAATTATATAAGGACATTGAAGTAATAATCTTGGATTAATTCCCTAATTGATCCCTAAACTTTGCATAAAGTTCCCAATGGATCACTAAATTTGTAAAAAAAATTCGTTAGTCATTGAACTTTACAAAATGTACCGCATCAGTCATTGAGTGATGGATGTGATCACATTTATAAAGTTCGACGACTAATAAGGAAACTTTTAAATTTCAATTACCCCCTTTGAACTTTACGCAAAATTCAGTAACCATCAGAGAATTAATGTTAAGTGATTAACATGAAATTTTTTAAATTTAGTGACCCCTGAAAATCTTACTCGAAGTTCAATGACCAATTAGGTAATTAACCCTCATTTTTTATTTTTTATGTTTTTAGTCCTTTTCTTTCTTTTTTCTTCTTCTTCTTCTCTTTTTTTCTTGTACTCCTCCCCTATAATTTTATTCGCTCTAGCATCTCCAAATTTAGAAAAAAAAAAAAAGAATAATCTTTTATCTTGGGATAATCTACAAGATTGTCTGCATGAACTTCTTTGATCTTAGAGAAGTCAATAGACAACTATGTTGGTTATTATAGGATAAAAGACTATTATTTTTTCTAAATTTGGCTATGTTTATAGTGTAGAAGTACAAAAAGGGAAGAAATAAAAAAAAACATAAAAAATAATAAAAATGGGGGTTGATTATTTGATTGGTCACTGAACTTCAAAAGTTCCCCGTTAATCATTAAATATTAATTCCCTAATTGGTCACTTTAGTGATCAAAGAGATTACATTTTGTAAAGTTCAGTGACTAACATGAAAAATTTATAGGCTTAATGACCCTTTGAAAATTTCATGCAAATGTCAGTGACCAATCAGGGAATTAATCCCATTAATCTTTGCTCTATTATGTTTAAAACTTCTTCTTATCTATGATCAACCTTTTGTTAATCAGTCTTCTTTCTCTGATAACTATTTTTGTTTAAAAAATCTATTAGAATAATGTAAAAAGGCATAGCAATTACGAGAAAAGAGATCTACAAAAGGAGAAAAAAAATCAAGAAATCAATCAAAAGTTAAGATTTCATAAATCTTCCACCTTTGGGTGACACTATCTCTCCAGGTATTTTGATTTTCAGTGTTGCCCCTCAATTTGACAAGAAGGTTGTCGAATCTTATTCAAGCAGGGCCTTTATACTGCTTCCATTTCTGAGCGTACCCATATTGAGCGTGTTGCTTTCCTTCAGGTTTGACTCTGTAAATACATTCTTTGTATCCCCAGCCTGAAACCCTTTCTGAGTTATCTGCCCCTGTCGCATGAATAGCACGTGGCAGACCTTTGAATTTGTGCTCATTCTTTTTGGCCGCCTTTTATAGAGGCATGGCTTCCCTTCAATTCCAATTGAGGAATGTTGCATCTCCTACTGGTAGTGGGCCACTTGACTTGCTCAATTGTGGTTGAGAGTCTATTTTCCACAACTTGGTGCTCCACCGTCTCCTCCTCGAACAGTTAGTTGTTATGGGCTATTCATTCATCAAATGAGCCCTGTAAATATGTCTAGTAGGGACGTTTTTATATTCTTTTATACTTTGAATTCAACGCCTTGTTTCTTTCCCTTTTCTCCACATCAAATTCCTTTATACCTACCGCCTCGTTGTACCTTAGCCGAAGTGAACACCTCCTTACCCATTTGGGTCCAGTTTTTGG